AACTGGATAGTGGATATGGGAGTCAGAAGACCTGCAGTAGAGTCCTGAGTTTGAGCTGTGTGATCTGAGGCAAGGTATTTAACCTCTCTGGGTCTCCATCTCCTCCTCTTTATAATGAGGAAGTTAGACTAGGTCTCTTAAGTCCTTTTCTAGCTCTAAGTGCTGTGATCTCATGAGTAAAATATCCATCTTTTAGTCTGTCATCAGATGAAACTCTCTCATCCCTGTTTCATTAATGACTGGGACTACAAGTCTCCATACCTTAGGATCCTTGATTTAGAGCTAGAGACACCTTAGAAATGATATTGTCTAACCCTACTCATCTTAGAGAAGAAGAAGCTGAGGCTTGGAGAAGGGAGATGACATTCTGAAGCATTCTCCTGTTCCAGTCCTCCTCTGGCACCTTGTCCTGCCATAGGGATGACCACGAGCTCTAGGAAGATATGTTGTCATAGAGAATGCTCTGGCTGGTCCTACCACATTGTTCTGAAGGCAGGCCTAGTAATCAGCTGGGATTGTTGACTAAGGATCAGCCTAGTGAGGTGTTGAGAGACTCATCAACAGAAGGTCCACCACCAGGTAATGCTTTGTTTTTGACCACAGCAATTCCTGAAGACTGTCTTATGTGGTATGCAGGGGTTGCAATCTGTGTCATTGGAGGAAGTGCTCACTCACAGTGATGAAATCCAGATCTTTTGAAGGGTTGAAGTGAGTATGAATCCTTACCTCTTCCTTTCCATAAGCACCTCATCATGATGTGGACAGAATGGGAGCTACTAAGTTCAGCGCCCAGGACTGGCAATGTTCACCTTTCCCCTGATTTTCTTGGATAAATAATCTATGTCTGTAAGTGTCTGAAGCCAGATTGGAGCTCTGGTCTTCCTGATTTTAGGCCCAGCACTGTCTCACCTAGCTGCTGACCTCAAAGGTTGTCTTATATCCAACACCCTCATTTTACTCGAGGAAGCAGACCCAGAGACATTGAGTGAGTCTCCTGAGGTCACTCAGATTGGGAGGGATAGTGGTGGGAGTTGAACCCAGGTGCTTTGACTCTAAACCCAGTACTGTCTCCATTGTATCACACTGCTTCCCAGTGGTGATGAAATGTGGATAGCGCTCATGCAGCAGGAAGGGGTCTTAGAAATAATTTATTCCAAACCATTTTATAGACCACACTGAGGCTCTGAAAAGGGAAGAGATTTGCCCAAGGCCACATTGCTTATATTATGGAGACTTAGGTTGTCTTAGATCTTGACTGTGATAGCTTTGAACAGTTGGAGAAGGTGATAGCTGGAGGCAAATGGTTAGTAACTGGGCACTCATTTTTGTTAATATAAATAACTATTTATTGAATACTTACTATGAGACATTGTGATAAGCACTAACAAGAAACAAAAAAGGGCTATATCCTTAAGGAGTTGGGGTGGTGGTTAGACAAGTACACAAAGGATTCTAATGCAAAGCTTGATAGAAGGGAATTCAACTGCTCTTTACATCACTGACCATCCTCTTCTTTCAGATATTCTTTCTCCACCTTAACTGCTGGGTTTTTTTTTTTTTTTTTTTTAATGTTTTATTGCTGTTATTTCTTGGGTTCTACAATCTCTCTTTTTATGATCTGATCTACTCCCATGATCATCTCCAAGCCAATGACACCCACGTCTATACACCTAGCCCTTACCTCTCCCCTGAACTCCATTCCTGCACCTCCAAACACTCGCTGGATAGCTCCACTTGAATATCCCTCTGGCATCTCAAACTCAACATATCCCAAATTAAACTCATCCTGAACCTAGCCCTCTTCTAAACCGCCTCTCCCACCATCCTCTCAGTCCCCATTTTTCTCATCTTTTGACCCTTACTCTTTCTCATCCCCTTCCTGAATCAGTTGCCAAGTCCTATCATCCATCCTTTTCTCTACACTCAGATTGCCCTAATTCAGCCCCTCAGCATTCCTTGTGTGGACTATCATAATATCCTCCTAACTGCTCTTGCTTTCTGCTTTCTATCTCTTCTACCTCCAATCCAGCCTTCACAGGGTTGTTGTAATTATCTTCTGAAGGTATAGGTCTGACCATGTCATAAGATCATAGACATAGAACAAGAAGAGACCCATTCATCCAACTCCATTATTTTACAGTTGAGGAAACTGAGGCCGGGGAGGTTAAGTGGTACACCCAAGATCACAAGTTAAGTAGTCATGGTCAAGGCGAAGATTTGAACCTAGGTCCTCTGACTCCAGTGTCAGTCCTTTTTTCACTATGTCATCCCTGCTTTAAAACTTTCATTGACTTCCTATTGCATCTGGGATGAAATAAAAGCTTTTTAGCGTGCTGTTGAAAGCTTTTTCCAGTTTGGCTCTACCCTGACTTTCTAGCCTTGATTTTGTGTTATTCCTTGCCTCTGCTCACTCTGTGTTGCAGCAGAATTGGCCTGCTAGTTATTCTCCAACTTCCCCATGCCATCTTCCCACCTCTGTTTATTCATATGAACAAACCCTCTCTGATGCCTGCAGTCCACTTTCTCCCCTACAACATTCAGAATCCTTCTCTCCCTCTTATCTGAAGCCTTCCCAGTTCTCCATGTCTTCTTCCTCATAAATCTGCTTGGAGGCACTTTATCTTCTCTCTCTTATCCTTTGCACTCTCTCATTTGTATTACACTAGTTTGTGCTGCTCTTGGTAAGCTCCATGAGGGCAGGGGCTTTCTCCATTTTGTTTTTGTATCCCTAATATCTTACATAGTGCCTTGCACTGAGTAGATGTGTGTTTGTTGAATTCAACTAAGTTGAAGGGATAGAGCATATAACAGGAGATCAGAGGAGGAAGAAAGCAAGGCTTCATGAAGGAGGCAGTGTTTGAGCTGGGCACACAGAGAGATATATGGGGGTATGTAGCATAGGTGGAAGGAATAGTAGGATAATAGGTAGGGAAATGAATGCTGCATTCAGCACATGGTCAGTGCAGCGGTCCCGTATGCTGGGAACATAGTCTATTTGTGGGGAAAGTGTGAGTGATAATGTTCAGTCACAAGCAGGGAAGTGTGAACTGGATTCTTATAGACAGTAGGGAGGCATAGAAGATCTTTGAGCAGGAGAGTGGCATGATCAGAATGTTGCTTCATGGTAAAATGAATTCAGCAGCAGGTTTAGAATGTATTGGAAGGGAAGAGATTGGAATAAGGAAGACAAGATTAGGAGGCTATTGTAGCTGTCTAAGTGAGAAGTAATGACATCCTGAGCTGAGATGGGGGAGTGTAAGTGGGGGTGGCATAGGGAAATAAGGGATAGCTATAAGGGATATTTTGAAAATTGAATTTTTAGCATTTGGCCATGTTTAGATGTGGAGAGTAAGGGAGAGGGGGAATAAAAAAAGAAAAGATGACTCCAAGAGTCTGAGACAGAGTGCCTGGCAGGTTGGAGGTCCCATCAGGAAAAATAGGAAAGTCAGGAGGAAAAACAGGTTTGAGGGAGAAGAAGAGTTTGGTTTTAGACCCGGTGAGTCTGAAGTACAAGTAGGGCACCCCAGTGAAGACACCTGGCAGACAGTTAGAAATGTGGGACTGGATGCTAGGAGAGAATCTGGAGCTGGAGAGGGAAACCTGTATTTCTCAGTGGCTTCTCTTGTAGACTCTAGACCTGAGAAGTCCTGTAATGGAGCAGTGATGTAAGCACAGCTAGCAATTAATACCATTAAAGTATCTTGGTAGGTTTGTTTTTTTCAATTAAGCTGATGTCTTTGGCTGGTCTTAGACTGAGTATATTATCAGCTTTGGTGTGTCTTTGTGAATGTGTGTGTGTGTGTGTGTGTGTGTGTGTGTGTGGTGTGTGTATTCTTACCATGGATGCCCCTGGGTGACCCAAGCACTTCACTTATCCTTGAACCTGATCAACCCCTGACAACCCAACCCAATCCAACACCTGGAAAAAATGAATTGTGCCTTTCTGGGTCATAGTTACTTGAATGGGAAAATAATTTACTCCCTCTCTGCTCCCCAGAGCCCCATTTTCCTTGTCTGTGAAACAAGGGACACAAACTCAGTGACCTCGGAAGGTCCATTCCCACTCTGAATCTTCTGTTTTAAAACCTGTCTGAATTCTGTAGTGTCGTGGGAGCTGAGCCCTTCTCAGCTCAGAGCAGAGCCTTGGCCAGATCCAGGCACCCAGAGGTCATTTGGTGAATGCTAGAAATGTATTTCCACCTGGAAATAGCTCATCCATTATCTCCTTTCCCTCATAATGGGCAATCATCTTACCCCACCCTCTGAACCGTGCTATTTCCTAGGAGGCAAACCAGCAAAGAGAAACATTCTTTGGGGATGATTCTTCCCCCATGACAGAGCTGCATTTGGAATCAGAAGAGCTGAGTTTGAATGCTGGCTCTGGTACTACCTCTGTGACCTTAAGCAAGTCACAGAAACTCTTGGGGCCTCTGTTTCCTAATTTGTAAAATCGGGGGGTTGGGTTAAATGATCTCAAAGGACCCATGTAACTCTATCTACATCCATGGCCCTATTCCCCGGGAGTGAGGCCATTTGGAAATTTCTTGTAACTATTCCAGAACCTTAGGAGTGCCTCTAGATGGAACCACAGAGCACTGACTGCCTGAGGAATGTAAGTGGACCTCACTTTATGAATTCTGCCATGCCAAATCAGCAGTTACAAACCAGTAAATTGAGGGGAGGGGAGGCATTATTTTCATCCCAAAAGGGTCTATCCTACTTGTAAAGTAAACATTCTGGATGTGGTGTCTTTATGTGGCCAGTTCTTCCAAAGTATTCAAACTATAGTTTGTTTTATAAAAATTCAATTTCCACGCATGCCACTGTGGAGCACTGCTGTTGTAAAACATCCATTGGCAGTCGGCAGAATTTGTGGGCTTCTGGAAGGGCTCCTTCCTCGCTAGAGGATAACCTGAGTCTGGGGAGAAATTAGCTTACAAGGTCTACAGGCATTCATCAAGCACTGAGTATGCTCCTTGTTTCTGTGTCTTCTCCCCCAGTGGTCCTTTGTAGTGGCAACGATCACGGAGATTCCACCAGTCTTCTGTCTTCCTAACTTCGTGGTGCAGAGGCATGTTCTAAGGCCTCTAAGGACCCAGACAGGAGGAACCATTATGGTAAGATGAGTCCGTGTTCTCTCTGCCCTCTCGTAGATGGGTGTTGGCTGGGAGCACAGTGGTGAGGAGGAAGATGGTGCTGGAAAGAAGGGACAGATGTCCCTTGATCTTCCCTTTCATTCTCAGCTCCTGGGCTACTTAGGACCAAGCATCCATTCCTTGTTCTTCCAATGCCTGGTATGGAGTCTTGTCCATTCCGTCCTTATCCATGCCATATGTCCACGAGGCATGAAGGCAAATAGCAGTAGCTCGTATTGGGTTGCACCAGCAGGTCTTATCAGATGTGTGAGCCCATTTTTGGCTCATTGGGAAGGGAGGTAGATACCACACAAAAAGTGACTAGAATTTAGGGAATATTGGGACCTGAAAGGTCCTTAATGAGTAAATGACTGTCTTGATTATTGTTCCTATGTAAGAGGAGAACCAAGAGTCCATTATCAATTATTCTAAAGTTGAATGGACTACCTCAGAAGGTAATGAGTTCCTTGTCTCTGGAGGTCTACAACAGGAGGCTGAAGGACAAATTGAGAGTCATGATAGGGATTCCTGCTTTAGGCTTGGGTTGGATTAGATGACCTCAGCAGAGAGACTCAGAGGTAGCTGTGGTACACAGGAAAGTCCTTGGAGTCAGAGAGCCTAAGCTTCTATCCCACCTCTGGCACTTGTGACTTTGGGCAGATCCCTGAACCTCTCTCAGTCTCAGTTTCCTCTCCTATAACAGAAAGGGGCCAAGCTAAATTTCCTTTGAGGTCCTTTCCAGTCTATATCTGAGAGCCTATGAGCCATTCTGGCCCAGAGATTCTAGAATTGTGAAATTCTACGTATGGATGATTCCCTTCCATCTTTGAGTTTGTGGCCATCTCTGAAGGTATCTTGGATACCTGAGAGGGCAGTGAGGGATGGGCAGGGTGTGTGTGCTTTTGGACTGGATGAATTTGTCACACCCTTGTTGAACACCTACTCTCTGCTCAGACTTGTGTTGAAGTCTAGGGGAAGATGCATTGCTCCTTCTCAAAGAACTTTTAGAGGGGAGATAAGGTAAATCTGCAAGAAATGATCAGGGAACAAGTTAAAGCTCTATGTGGCACAAGCTGATTAATCATGACAACTATAATACTAACAATTCCCTTAAAAGGGAAGCAAATCCTTTTCATCTCTTTCATCCCATGGAACCCTCTCAACAGCCTTGTGAGGTAGGTCCATGAGACCATAGATGTAGAGCTGGAAGGATCTTCGAGGTCATCTAGTCCAATCCCCTCCTTTTGCTGATAGGGATACTGAGGCCCAAAGAAGTCCTGTGACTTTCCCAAGTTCATATATGGAGTAAGTATAAGAGCTGGGATGTGAACTCAGGTTCATATTCTTCCACTGAACCGTGCTGCATCCCAGGCATTAGGTATTAGTTCTCATTTTTCATGAGGCCCAAAGATGGGGAAGGACTTTCCAAAGGTCACACAGTTGGTTCATGGAAGAGCTACGATTAGAACCCAGGTCTCAGGGCAGCTAGGTGGCACAGTGGATAGAGCACTGACCATGGATTCAGGAGAACCTGAGTTCAAATCCAGCCTCAGACACATAACACTTACTAGCTGTGTGACCCTGGACAAGTCACTTAACCCCATTGCCTAGCCAAAAAGAAAAATGAAAAAGAAAAAAATAACCCAAGTCTCTTTACTCCCAACCCAGGGCTGTTTTCAATAGATTATGCTTCCTTTCCTCAGGATCCCCAAGCTGTTATAGCTGGTCCTTCCTCCATCCTGTCTTTGGTTGGCAGCCTTGAGCCAGCACAGTTCATTAATAATACACCCTTCATGAAATATGGATGGCCAGCTTCCCCAGGAAGCGTGTATACTACATTCTTCACACCCGAGAAAGCTCCCTTTGGGCATGCCAGCTTGAGGAAGGTGATCCCCAAGGCCAAGACTAAGACGTGGGGCATACAATATTAATATGAAGGTGACATAGATAATATGTTGGGTGGCAGAATCAAGATGCAGTAGACAGATAATGTAGTGTAATAGAAAAAATGAGGGATTTGGAATCCACAGACCTGGGTTCAAATCCAGACTTCTGTGACGACCACTTTGACCTTTGGCTTCAGAGACTCCATTTTCTCACTATCACTGAGGGGATTGAATAATGTGATCTTGGTTTTCCCTTCTGACTCCAGAGCCTAACATCCTAAGTTATTAAATATCTGAGATCAGCTTTAAAACAGTGCCCAATACTTTGGCTCAGACCAGACTCCTGAGCCAACGTGCTGGCACAGGCCTGGGGATCTTATTAAATTCCTGAATGTCCTTCCAAACCCATTTCCTATAATGGACCTCAAAAATGCCCTGGCCAAATGGGATTCTCTCCCCATTCTATGCTTTCCTAGAATTTTCTTTACAAGCCCCTCATTAGACTTATCATCGTCTACCTTGTGTTTTGGTTATTATATACATGCCTTATCTCCCCCTACTAGACTGTAAGCCCTTTTGGGGTGGGGACAATGTTTTATATAGCTTTTTGTCTCTCATGGGGTTCAGCACAGGCCCTTGTACTGGTAGGTCTTCAGTTAATATCCATTTAGTTGAATCAGAAAACGGTTATATGGTTCTCGGATTAGAAACGTTCAGTAGATTTATCGTAAGGGAAGAGGGAATGGGGCAATGCCCAGTAGAGACAGTTACTGGTGGGCAGGCGTTTCTAACTCTTTTAAGGGCTGGGAATGAGCAGTGTTGTCCTCTTCCTTTGGCTGACCTGACGTTCCCTTTCCCCCACACCACCTCCCAACAATGCCGTAAGAGCTTACCTTTATGATAGGGCTTCATGGCTTTCAGAGTGCTTTCTTCTCAGTAATCCTGTGAGGAAGGCAATGCAAGATGGAAAAATGAGGCTCACGAGAGCAAAGTTGATTTGCCCCCAATGTACAGCTAATCAGTAGTAGAGCTGGGTTTGGAAGCCAGATCTTGTGACTCCAAATCCAGAACTCCTTCCAGGCCTCTCCTCTTTTTCTGCACCATTGCTCTGTGACCAACTGGCCGAGAATGTTGCCCAGGAGGCTTAGGGCTTCACCACTTCTGGATTGTTGGGTAGAGGAGAATAGGCCCCTTGCAAACCTGAAAAAATGCCTTGGTGTTCATTCTCTCTCTGTGCTTGTTCCCAAAGGCTGGGAAACTGGCTATTGAACGAGGCTGGGCCATCAACATAGGTAAGTACAACAGGGAATTCAATCTGGAAGAGCCTTGGTGTGTGTGTGTGTGTGTGTGTGTGTGTGTGTGTGTGTGTGTGTGTGTGTGTGTGTGTCCCTGTCCCTCATTCTTCAGCCTGAGTACTCCCAGTTGACTTTTAGGAGATGGACCCTTGAGAGGTTCAGATTTGTTTGGACCCTTTGTTGGGTTTATTTATTTATTTTCTTACAAAATTTTTTTACAAAAATCCACAGAATTTATTTTTACAAAATCCACAGTATCCTAGTACTAGAGGTGACCTTCTCATTTTATAGTTGAGGAAACAGGCGCAGAGAGGTGGAGGTCACACAGACCCAGGAATCAAGCTGGGGTCCTCTGACTCCTTCACCTAGGCTTCTTTCCCTTGCAGCTCTTTCTCATAAATGGTATTGTTCCTCAAACTCTCAAGGATAAGCCTTGTCAAGCTAGGGTTGGCTTCATGTGTGGGAAGAATGAGCCACCACCTAAGTGGTATAATTTGTGGTGCCCAGCAAGATCCCTCTGCCCAAAGGAATCTCCCTGACTGGTTTGTCATGAAGTCTAAAATGGCACCCCTTGGTGTCATTTCTTAAAAGCTTTCTGGAACTTGGATCATCCCAAGGTTATGCATAGGTAGGAGGTAGGAGGACACACATACACACACACACACACACACACACACACACACACACACACACACACACACCCCATGCCCACAGAGAGGTGGAGAAGGATGAAGCTCTTTCCTTCTTAGACTTGAAACCACGGTATTTTTCTGGTCTGTTAAGAAAGCCCCTCCTGTTCTGTTGAGGGTCCTTAGTGCCATCCTCATCTCACTTACACTCAAGTCCACATGGCTCATCTCTTGCCAAGTGTCTCATCATGCCAACCTTCGCCACATCTGTGTCTGTGCCCCCCACCCTGCTGTAGGCCCTCATCCCCTCATGGCTGACCTCTGTAATAGTTACAGCAGCCTGCCGGTTGGTCTCTGCTTCAGTCTGGCTTCCCTCTAATCCATCCTTCCCCTAGCTGCCAAAAAGGTTTTCCTAAAGTGGAGGTTTGACCGTATCACCTTCTTCCTGCTCCTATTCAATAAACTGAAATGGTTCTCTATTACTTCTAGGTTCAAATATAGAATGTAAATATAAAATTTGATTTTTAAAGCCCTTCCCAGTTTGTCCCCCTCCTATCCTTTGAATTTTCTCACACTTTCCTCCCCTTCACGTACTGAACAATTCAGCTACACTGATGATCTACATGTACATATGACTCCCGTGCTTTTCACTGGCTGCCCCCATACCTGGAACACACCCCTTCCTGCCCTCCAACTCCTCACTTCCTTCAAGACTCATCTCAAATCTCACCTTTTGTAGGAGCTCTTTCCCAGCCTTCACCCCTCCTCTCATGTCTTCGTTCTGACATGACCTTCCATTTATATAGTATATATCTTGTATGTAAGTAGTTATTTTCATGTATCTACAATGCTTATTAGTATACTGCCTGGCATATTAAGTAACCACTTAAGAAATGCCTAATGATTGTCTGGCTTCTGGAAGAGTAGACTTAAGGGAGGCTGGGGAAGCCATGCCAGCTCCAGAGGGGCAGATGATGAAGGCGGTTGCCAAGGATGCGCTTGGTGGCAGCTGTCACGGGGGAAGCCTGCTCTTGTCATCAGCTCCATCACTCCAGCAAAAGTGGACATTCCAGCCTGCGAAGCTGGTGGTAGCTCTGGTGATCTGGTCTGGAACTGGCACTGACCTCTTGTTTTAATCCCATTGCTGGGTCAGGTCTTCACCACAGGGAAGCTGTATTGATCTGTTGTCACTAACTTATTTGAAATTTCTTTCCAGAGGAGACTGAAACTCCTGTCCCTTCTTACTCGGACATTAGGATGGCGGATGAAGATGAATTGTGGGGGCAGGCTAAGCTAATTAATTAATATCATGTCTTGATTAATATCATGCATCCCTTAGGCTTCTCTTGTCTTTGCTTCTCAAGAATTGCAATTATATTTGTTGACTGGATGACTCTGTTGTCATCAACAGAGAGGGACCCTGGAAAATGTTAGACCCTAACCACATTTCTGAGTGACCTTTACTTGGGAAACTCTGAGCCCCTTCAGGGTTGTGAGGATCTTCCCAAACAAACACTGTCATCAGCTTCTCTCTGGATTTCTTTGCATCCAGGAGAGACACCTCTTCCTCGGACTATCTTAGGTGAATCACTAGAGTAACTAGAAACACATTTTAGGGCCAAAAAGAACCTTTTATTCTACTGAACTCTGAACAAATGTAAAAAGGGACAAAATTAAACAAAAGTGTAGAATTCAGAGCTAGGCTTAATGTGGCAGTATTGCAGTAGAGTTTCAGACTATTAATATAGCATTTATATAGCATTTTAAGGGGTGCATTCCTTTCCACATTATCTTTTTTGATTCATTATCCCAGTTATAGCTGTAAGGTCAGACACTAAAAGAAGTTAAGTGACTTCCCCAGGATCAAACGTAGCTAATAAGTGTCTGAGGCAGGTTTTGAACTCAGGTCTTCTTGACTCCAAGTTTGATACTCTAGCCACAAAACCACTCAGCTCTCCAGTGTCTAGCTTTGTGCTTTGCCTAGGAGATGGAATTCAGAACTGGATCTCAGAGAGCACCTTGTTCATCCCTCTCATTTACAGACATGGAAGTGAGGGCCAGAGAAGGGAGGCCTCATCTCTTCATCATCATGCAGGAAGCAAGTAGAAGAGACTGAGTTTGAACTCACCTCCTCTGACTCCCAGTCAGTGTCTTTTCTGTGTTAACACCTCACATAGTAATGCCAACTAAATCCTTGATGAATGGATGAATAGCTGCTCCTCAACTTGAGAAGCACATATAAGTGTTTCTTCTCCTGCCCTTTTTTCTGTATCTGTATCTTTAAATATCTGGACCCTGGGCAAGTCACTTAACCCTGTTTGCTTCAGTTTCCTCTTCTGTAAAATGAGCTCCAGTATCTTTGCCAAGAAAAGGCCAAATGGGGTCACGTGACATCAGACATAACTGAAAATTACTGAACAACAATAATAACCTTTTTAAAACTTGGCAGGTTGATTAGACATCATCTTTTTGCCCTCCCCCAAAGGTAGAGGAGGTGTTTGATGATTCAATCCATTATTCCATCCTTAAAACCAGGACTACGATAGGTTGTCTTTTGTTGTCCTAAGCATTAGTATTACTATTATTTATAATAATGAAATCAATTTATGTAGCAGTCTTCTGTTATCCTGTTATTATTCTTAATAATGAGCTCAATTCATACAGCAGTCTTTTGTTATCCTGAGCATTCTTCTTCTTCTTAATAATAATGAACTCAATTTATATAGCAGTTACCGGAATGTTTTCCATAAAACATTCTTGTGAGGTTGGTGGTGCAGATATTCCCATTTTACATGTGCAGAAGCTGAGGCTTAGAGAGAGGTGAAGTGAATGTTTCCATAGTGTCCAAGCCTTCACTCACAGTCAGTGCTCTTTGTAAATGGTGAAGCACTATGTAAATATGAAGTAATCATTGTTGTTATTTGCACTGGGCAAAAAAAAAAAAGATGGGGAGGAAGGGAGAAGATTTGGGGCTGGTTGGATTCTTTTTTTTTTTGGCCCTGGCCAGAAAGCTGGGAAGTCAGTGGCTCTGGTCTTTGGGCATGCACAGCTGCCCTTGGAGCTAAGTGGCTTGCGACGCTGCTGTAGAGCAATGAGACCACCAGAGGGTGCACTTTGTCTGCCCATTATTGACCTGATTAGGTACTCGGAGCTTGGGCTGCAAGCTTGACATCTGAGATTCACAGCATCAGAACCTGTGTGAGAATCCTCCTCCTCTACCCTTGTCACAGTGATTGGGTGAAGGAGGCAGACCTGAGCAAATCCTTCTGCCCCCAGCCGCCCACATGTCCCCTGGTCATCCTACTCCAACTATGTTAAGTGCTAGGCTGCCTGTCCTATCAACCACTCAACCAACACCGTTTCTTAAGCACCTGCTGTGTACCAGGCACTGACCTATATACTGTGGATCTCTAAGACTCCAGAGACCAGGATAAAAGAGCCCCTTCTCTTAAGGAGCTTACGTTTAACAGCATTTACATATCTAGGCACAGACAAAATAGATAAAAGGTGGGTTTGGTGAGAAAGGCACTAAAAATCGGTGGGGTAAGGAAAGGTTTCATTTAGAAGGTGGTCATTGCACTGAGTCTTGGAATTCAGATGGAAACTCAGGATTCCAAGAGGTGTTGGTGAGGGGGGAGGGTATTTCAGGTTTGTGGGACAGCTAGTGCAAAGGCAGACAGATGGGAGATGAGAGATGATGGGAGATGGAGTGTCCTGTTTGAGTGACATCCACGAGGGCAGTTTGACTGCATTGTAGAGTGTGTGAAGGGGGCCAGCCTGCCGGAAAGAAGGGCATTTAAGCAAATGTTTTCAGGGCGTCTGCTGTATAATCAGCTTTTTGACCAACTGTGCCACCGAGGATGGAAAAGACATAAGCCCTGCTTTGAAGAGCCTCTCTGTTGGACAGACAAGATCCCAAGACAATGTTGGTGCTGGCTTGCATGATACAGACTCTGTATATGGTGGGAGGCAGAGGAAGAGAGAGCTCAGTGGGTGCTGGAGTAGTCAGAAAATGCCTTATGCAGAAGGCACTGCTTGAGCCAGGCTTTGGAGGATGGGAAACATGTGATGAAGTAACTGATCTGTAATAGGAAGAGATTGGGCTAGGTGATCCCTAAGGCCCCTTGCAGCTTCCAATCAATGCTTCTCTGCCCTCCAACTTGAATGCTTTATTATTTCTGAAATTGGGAATAAGGTGAGTTACCAGGGGTCACTTGGGGACGGGACAAGTGAGGAATAGTGAGCAAAAGGGCTGGTGGTAGAAAATCTAGCATAAGGTGGGAGACTGGCCAGGATGGGGTAGTCTACACCGGGGAACAGCCCAAAGTGAGGATTGTCCCCCCCCCCAGCTTCTGCTAATGCCTCTTCTTCCTCTGACAGCCCCTTCCATTTGTACTATGTATACGTACACACCATATACACATGCATATATGCATACATATTATATATCTGTGTCTATTTATATCTCTGTATCTTGTTTGCACATCGTTATTTGCAAATCATCTCTCCCACTCAGAACGGGAGCTTCTTGAGAGCAGGGACTATTTCTTGCCTTTCTTTGTAACCCCAGTGCTCACCATAGTCCTGGAACATAGTAGGTGCCTAGTCAATGTTTATTGACTGACTGCTAGAATAGCTTAGGGAAACCAGATTACAGCAGGTCATTTGCCATGACCTTATGCAGGTTTTCTTCTTCAGGGACCATTAAGTTCCTGGAAGATTGGAACTTGTCCATGCCTTGTAGAGAGGAGAGGATCTTAGAAAGGGATGAGGAGACTGCAAGAAAGTGAACTAAAATAGACTTTCACCCTTTCTGAGGGCCCTTATCTGAAGCTGAGGTACTAGGGAGTCAGAGCTGGTAGGAGAGGGAGGGATGTGGTCTGACAGGAGGGGACAGGGCACTGAAGGGAAACACCAGTTGAATGGTTTCTTTTCTTGCAGGTGGTGGGTTCCATCACTGCTCCAGTGACAAGGGAGGGGGATTTTGTGTCTATGCTGATATTACACTCTCTATCAAGGTACGACCTATGGTGACGATGCCTTCAAGTAAAAGACACATGGGAGGTAGACCATCTGGATCACAGGACTTGGAACTAAAAAGGACCTTAGAGGTCATCTAGTCCAACGGTGGTCCAGCCAGAACCCAGTACTCTGAGGAGTCAAAGGCCAGCACTCTTTCCATTAAACCACAACAGTGAGCCAGGCCTTAAGAAGTGGTGGACATAAACTGACTGGGAAGATGATGGAGGTGAAGACACAGGAAAGGGGGCCTAAGGCAAATCTGACCCCTCCCCCACAAAAGGGGGAAAAAAAGCCCAGAAAGAATGGATTCTTAATTCTTTGAAACTCTGGGCTTGACCCTAACCCAAGACAGAGAATAAGCCTCTCGGTGAAAAACACTCTCCCTCTTACACTAAGTATAGCCAGAGGCTGAAGAGGGCACCGAACTTAGGATATTAGTCTTCATTGAGACCTGGGGTGGGCCAGAGGGGCAAACGCCTGGTAACTACCACCACCACCAGTCATAATGGTAGCTGGCTTGTGAATATGAAGGGTTTGAAACATTCAACTTTGCATTCTGTCAGTGAACTGTTAGCAGAGGGTCTTTCCCCCAACTGCCCTCTTTCAGCTCCCAAAGGGAAGCCACTGGCAGACAAAATATCTCACTGGAATGAGATGGCCACTTATTTGGAGAGGAAGTTTGAGTCTTAGGTAAGAGCCTTATAAGGCAAGTATGTAATGAAATATAAGAGTTCTCTAAACTACTGGGAATTTTGAACAATCAGTTATTTGCCTGGTGGGTGTTGATTTCTCTGCTTCCCCTTTCTCTCCCTTCTCTCTCCTGAGCAGTTTCTGTTTGATCGAGTAGAAGGAGTCTCAAAAGCCACTATTATTGACCTGGATGCACACCAGGTGGGTCCCCTGTCCTATGTGGGAAGGAAGCCTCAGAATCAGTGTCCTGTCTCAATAGTCCGTGACTCCCCCTGATTCTTCCTCCCAATCAGTGTGCACTATCACGATATTAAAGCCTCCACACAAACACACTCCTACTTACACACCCACACAATATCAGAGGGCATCGGGCTGCCCAGGGATAGATGCTGCTGAATGTCATAAGGGGAGATGGAGGAAGGCTTGGGGTCACCATCTTTGGAAGTCTCTACATACAAGGGAATGTGTGGCGTTCCTTTCTGGCAACAGTCAAAAGCAGTCCTGGGTTAAAAGTACTTACTTGTGCCCTATGCCAATAAAATTGTAGGACCAATCTCTATCCATAATAATAGTGATATGACAATGACAATGGTGTGGATAGCTGCCCCTCTTTGCACAGAGCTTTAGCAGATTACACTCATCATTTCATCTGATTCTCACAACAACCCTGGGAGGTTGGCACTGTGTGCATTTTTGGCATTCTTCATGCTGGCATTGGCATTGCTGGCATGTTAACATTGTCTTCCAGAAGACGATCACTAGTGGTGTGTTTTCCCCTAGGGAAATGGCCATGAGAGGGATTTCATGGACGACAGCCGAGTGTACATCGTGGATATCTATAACCGCAACATTTACCCAGGGGATGGGTTTGCTAAACGTGAGTCTGCTAAATTGTTAGACTGGTGGTCCCGGGGGTGATTTCCTTGTGGATGAGGTGTAAGGCGGCAATGTCAAAATGTCAAAATGTGCTTGAGAAAGAAACCAGTATATATTTTTTAAATTCATAAGTACGAGTGTCCAGGCATCCTCTCCCCTATACCCCATCAAACACATGTACCCAGTTGGGTTGGGTCGTGAGAGATCATTTGTAGGCCAGTTGTCTGGGACTCCAAATTCATTTTCCCATGGCAATAATGATAGAGGGGCCATTCAGGTCCCCTAGAGGCCTGTCTAGCCCATCGTATAAATGAAATACTTGATTTTCCCTGCTGCAGTTACTCATTGTTTATGTGGGAGAATGTGTCTTAGGTTCATCTGGGAATCTGGGAGGTGGGGAACATACTTTCCCCTCCACTGTAGCTGTGTCTTAGAAGAAAATCTCTTTTCTCCATTCCCTGTTCTGGATCATTCCCCTTTCATTTACATGAGTGTATTGTAGGAGAGGAGTATTTATGAGGTGATGTTTACATCTCAGGGACAGTCTGTGTATATCATTCAGCCCTAATTCTTGGATCTTTTATGATATTCTCCAACTCCCTGAAGAGAAGAAGAGAAAGGGAGGACCAGTATCACTTCCTCCACCTCCTTCTTATGTTGTTCCAGACCATCTTTCGGGACAGTGAGCTGGGAGCCATTCCCGGGCCTTCTTCTGGGATCAATTCCAGCTGATACACCTCAGTTTGGTTGTGCTGACTGGGCCTGACTTTCTAGCTTTACCGCCTATGAGTCGATAGGATTTGGAGCTGGGATGGGCCTTAGAGATCCTTCAGTCCCAGCTCCTCACTTTATAGATATGGAAATGAGGAGGAGAGAAGAGGACTTTCCCAGGGTCACATGGTAGTAAGGAACAGAGCTCATACTGGAACCCAGGTCCTTTGACTGAAAATCCAGTGTTCTTTCTGGCATGCTTCAGTTACACATATTATTGTATTTAATCTTCACAACAGCTCTCTGAGGTAGGCGGTACTATTAGCTCCATTTTACAGATGAGGAAACTGAGACAAACAGAAGTTAAGTGATGTGTCCAGGGCCACCCTGCTAGTAAATATCTGAGGAAGGACTTGAACCCAAGTCTTTCTGACTCACAAGTCCACTCTATCCATTATACTAAACTACCTCTCACCCTGATGAGGAAGCTGGTGGCACAGTGAATAGAGTGCTGGGTGTGGAGTCATGAATATCTGAGTTCAAACCTGGCCTCAGACACTTCCTAGCCATGTGACTGTGGGCAAGTCACTTACCCTCTGTTTGCCTCAGTTTTCTCAACTGCAAAATGGGGATCATCATAGCACTTACCTCCCAGGGTTGTCGTGAGGATCAAATGAGATAATATTTGTGTAAAAAGTGCTTTGCACAGAGCCTAATAATTGGTGCTGTGTAAATGCTTATTCCCTTCTCTTCCCTTTCCCCCTACTGCTACTGACACACAGACTATATCAGAGCTAGAATCCAGTCCAAACCCCTAATTTTACAAAGGAAGAAGCTGAGGCCCCCAAAAGTGAATAAATGGCTGAGCTAGATCCCCACCTGCAGACTTACATCCATCTCTCTTCATGGTGCCTCTTTACGGCATCTCCTCACCTTCTCTTCTCTATTAGAGGGCGGGACCCTGAGGGTACGGGCCATAGGCAGGTGAGTTTTGCTGAGCAGAGGGCCAAAGAAAGGTGGGCATGGGTGCCTGGGAATCAGGAGACCCAGGGGGGCACCAGAGAAGGGACGGACTGAAGATACCAAGAGGCTTGAATTGAGGTGGGAGGGGAAGGGTGCCAGAGCTACGACTTTGCTACCTTGATATTTTGCTGCCTGGGGGATGAAAGTGGTGGCAAGACTCAATCCACTGTCATCTCTGCTAGGAGTCCGCACAGTCCAGGCCTCTGCTAAAGCCTCCCCCTAACTTTTAGGTGCCATCAAGCGGAAAGTTGAGCTGGAGTGGGGAACAGGAGATCAAGACTACCTGATGAAGGTGGACGAGCATGTGAAGGGGGCACTGAGTGATCATGAGCCCGATGTGATCATCTACAATGCGGGCACAGACATCCTGGATGGTGACCCTCTGGGAGGGCTCTCTGTGTCTGCCGAGGTGAGTCCAGCTCTCTGGGCTTGGGTTCGAACGACTCTGCTGCCATTTAAAAGCCACCTGGAAATGGAGAGGCTCTGAATGGTCCTTGGATATCAGTCATATCCCCTGAGGATTAGGGGGAAGTTACGGGGCTTAAATGACAGTGGGGAATTCTGGGGTTAAGTTTAAGAAAGAGCTTCCTGCCAGGGAGGGAGGGAGGAATGCATGAATGAATGAATGAATAAGCATTTAATGTGCTGAGCACTGCACTGAATGGTGAGAATACATGTACAAAATTAAAAACAGCACTTCCTCAGGGAGCTTAGATCCTCTGACCACAGTTCAGCCTCCCCTCCACTCAGCTGCCAAAGTGATGACATAGGTCACATACCCCCTACTCAATGCATTCCAGTGGCTCCCTATTCCTTGCTAGATCAAATTTAAAATCTTCTTTTTGGCACTGAAAGCCCTTCGCAACTTGGCTCCTTCCCACCTTTCCTGACTTCTTTTTGAAATATTTTTTTTCTTTTTCTTTTAAGGCAATTGGGGTTAAGTGACTTGCCCAGGGTCACACAGCTAGTAAGTGTCAAGTGTTTGGTCTGAGGCTGGATTTGAACTCAGGTCCTCCTGACTTCAGGGCTGGTACTCTATCCACTGAGCCACCAAGCTGCCCCCTCTCCTGACTTCTTACACATCATTTCCCTCTGTATTCTTGACAATCTGGCCACCTTGGCCTATTTGCTAATGACCCTCTATGTGTTTTCCCTTGCTGTGCCCCACACTTGAAATGTTCTATCTCTTCACCTCTGACTCCTGGCTTCCCTGACCCTGCTGCAAGAACCAGCTCAAATCTCACTTTCTGTAAAAAGCCTCCCTTCTCTAACATGACCCCTACCCCTATACCTTCCCTCTGAGAATACCTTCTCTTAATGCTCTCTTTCTCTATCTATCTATCTATCTATCTATCTATCTATCTATCTATCTATCTAATCTATCTTTTTATTATATATAGTAACATTTTATTACACACACACACACACATATATATATATATATATATATATATATATATATATATATATATATAATATATATATATACACAGAGAGAGAGAGAGAGACACACACACACACACACACACACCTGGGCAGACATAGAGAGACCTCCCAGAGGGTCACCATCTAGGATGTCTCTGCTCACATTGTAGATATATATATACACATACATACACACACATATATAATATACACACACACTCACATATATATGCACACACACATACATACATACATGATTATATATATATATATATATATATATATAATGTATATACATCCTTATTACTACATGTTGTTTCTCCCACTTGTTTCCTTGAGGCCAGGGACTGTCTTTTTTGTTTTCCTGACACTTAGCACATAGCAGGTGCTTAATAAGTGTTGATTGATTGATTATTGACTGACTGACATTTTTATGAAGGAGGGATATTGACAAATTACTGGGATGGTGAATGAAGCTGAGAGGGAGTAAATTGACTCTCTCTAAGGGTAAGTACAAGAGTTGATTTGTTTATGGTTTCAGAACTGAAAAGAGGATGGGGGTAGAGAACATGGTGGCTGGTAAGGAGACAGCCATCAGGTGAAGTGTGGATGGATCTAGGCCTAGATGTAATGAGTGACAGAGGCAACCACACTGATCAGGACAGAAGACCCCAGGGCAGAAATTCATAGGGTGAGAGGGTTGTCATACAGCATTTGGCTTCTGGCCTACGGGACAGTTAGCCAGGAGATCACCAGGGAGTGAAGGGATATGTATTTCATGCTGGAAAGGGCAGGGTGTCCTGGGCCCTGAGGGGATTTGGAATGGAGGGTGGATTCCTAAGGAGCCTGTGGCATGGAGGCTTTGCCCATATGACCATAAATCTTAGAACTTCAACATCATCTCATCTAACTTCTTCTTTTTACCCATGAGAAAAATATGCCAAGAGTTAGGCAAATGTGACCTCAAAGGAACATAGGCTTGAGGGTCTATGGGGGGAGAAGAAGGCCAGAGTTCATGACTAGAACCTCTCCTTAATTGTGACCTAACTATTGCCAAAACAGGCTTTCCCCATCTGTCTAATCTTTCTGGGGCCTTCTCCTGAGTCAAGAGTTCCCTATCCCAGATAATGTCAGATCTTCTCCTGCCCATACCTCTACAGGGCATCATCAAGAGGGATGAGATGGTGTTCCGGGCTGCCCGAAGCCAGAATATACCTATCTTCATGGTGACCTCAGGAGGCTACCAGAAACATACAGCACGGATCATAGCTGATTCCATCCTCAACCTGTACAACCTGGGCCTCATTGACCATTTGGAGGCGATCTGAGCGGCCCAGCACACTGTGTAAATGACTGTGACCACCTAAAAGGCAGCCTTTGCCATCCCTCTCCCAGATAAATTTTGTTTTCTAAAAAGCAGATGCAATAGGCAACACTTTAACCCTAGACTGGTGTCAGGGTCAGCTGCAATACAACAGATCCGGAGCCAGGGCCCTGTAAAATCACTTCATTTATTTATTTATTTATTTTTTACCACTTTCAAGGACAGCAGAGTGGGGGAAGGACCTGTTCTTGCTGATCTGTTTCCATGATCTGTCTTGATCTGGGGGGCTAGCTTTGATCTTGTCTGGCTCCCTGGGGGATGTGGGGGGGTTCTCAACTTTACACTTTCTTCTTCCCCTTCATCTCTTGGCCTAGGGCAACCTCTGTCTGGACGGCAGGATTTATCCTCCAGGGTGACTGCTCCATGGGATGACCCCTCTCTTGTCCGGTGCAGAGAAAGAAGAGATTTTGAGGAGAGGGAATGAGGAAGAGAGCATAGCAGGGCCTTTGACAAGGTCTCCTCCTATGGACAGTGACAGTGGGATAATCTCCTATCTTAGATTTTTGGAAACGTATAGGAAAGGAGAAAGGAAAGGTGTCTGGAGGGAATAGTCAAAGATCAGGGTTGCAGATGAGTTGTGGGTAAGTAGTGAGGAAAGATGTGGAGGTTATGAGGGGCAGGGGCAGTGAGGTGTAGGTAAAAATAGGGCTCTGGTTTTCTCTGAAGCCTGATGGGTAACCAAGAATTAGGAGACCGCTGCTAGTAGTAGAAAAAGACCCTCTCCTACCAGTGATCTCCTTCCCTCTCTACTTTCCCTCTTCCTCCCCACTCCCTTTTTATTCTCCCTATCTGCCTCTTTCCCCGCCCTTCCCACTTTCTCCTTCTTTTCTTCTTATCTCTTCTCTCCTTTTCCCTCTCCCCACCCCAATTTCTGTCCCTGCATCTCTTATGATGGGAGAGGTGAATAAAGTGGGTTTGGGAGTCCTGGGTTTTTGTTTTTAGGAGAGAGGGAGAATGATTGGGATGTTGCCCAGCATGGAGAAGAAGCTAGAGGATGCCAGTTTCCTCTCTGTTGGACAAGCCTCCTTTCTTCTTCTTTTTTTTTTTTTGGTGGGGGGAGCTAGGCAATGGGGTTAGGTGACTTGCCCAGGGTCACACAGCTAGTGAGTGTCATGTCTCTGAGGCTGGATTTGAACTCAGGTCCTCCTGACTCCAGGGCTGGTGCTCTATCCATTGCACCACTTAGCTGCTCTGCAAGCCTCCTTTCTGTGGTTGCAGACCCTGGGACGCTAGAAAAAGAAGGCACACAATCTCAGGACCCCTGGATTTTGTGTCCTGTTTTCAGGGCTAACATAGAGTTCTGACTGTCCATGGGATACCTGCTTGGGCTGGAACTTTCTCTTTCAATCAGGGGACAGTTGATTATTGTGAGGGGGTTGGGCAGTTGGGGACTCTTCTGCCCCAAGCAGAAGGCTGAAATGTGACTCCTACAGGCTTCCTGTTAAAATTGTCAGTGGCAGGCAACAAGGGCATAGGTGATACTAGAGAATGGAAATACTGCAGGCTCAAGTATTTAGTCATAGCAGATGGGTATGAGAGAGAGAGAGAGAGAGAGAGAGAGAGAGAGAGAGAGAGAGAGAGAGAGAGAGAGAGAGAGAGAGAGAGAGAGAGAGAGAGAAGACAGAGACAGAGAGACAGACACAGAGAGACAGACACAGAGAGACAGACACAGAGAGAGAGAGAGAGAGAGAGAGAGAGAGAGAGAGAGAGGCAGAGAAAGACACAGAGAGAGACAGAGAGACAGACATGGAGAGAGAGACAGACAGACACAGAGACAGAGAGACACAGAGAGAGATAAAGAGAGACAGAGGAGACAGAGAGACAGACACACAGAGAGAGAAACAGAGAGACAGAGAGAGAGAGAGAAAGGCAGAGACAGAGAGACAGAGAAAGACACAGAGAGACAGAGAGACAGACATGGAGAGAGAGACAGACAGACAGACACAGAGACAGAGAGACACAGAGAGAGATAAAGAGAGACAGAGGAGACAGAGAGACAGACAGAGAGAGAGAGAAACAGAGAGACAGAGAAAGACACAGAGAGAGACAGACATGGAGAGAGAGACAGATAGACACAGAGACAGAGAGACACAGAGAGATAAAGAGAGACAGAGGAGACAGAGAGACAGACACACAGAGAGAGACACAGAGAGAAACAGAGACAGAGAGAGAGAGGAGACAGAGACAGACAGAAGACAGACAGACAGAGAGACAAAGGAGATGGAGAGACAGACAGACACAGAGACAGAGAGAGACAGAGGAGATAGAGAGACAGACACAGAGACAGAGAGAGACAGAGAAAGACAGGAGACAGAGAGACAGACACAGAGAGAGAGAGACAGACAGAGAGATAGACAGATAGACAGAGAGACAGAGACAGAGAAAGGAGAGACAGAGAGAAAGACAGAGAGAATCAAGTTTGTATGTAAAGGCATTTCTCTTCCAATATTGTGGATGAACTAACCTATCCAAGGTAAGGGGAAAGTTTTGTGGGAAAAGAATGTGCATCGTGTTCATAGAATTGGGGTTTATATCATGGCTAAAAGTCTTCTCTCCAAAGACCTGAAAAAGTGATTCTTGGGTAGGGCCTTATCTTTGGGTGTTTTCCAGATGAGACAGAAGCTCAAGGCTGAGGCAACCATGGACCTCTGATTCCTTCCTCTGAGACACATTTATCGATCATTTATTGAGAAGGGAAAAGGTGTCATGGAGGAGGTTCTTTCCTCCTCTTGGCAAATGTATCCTTTCCCATGTGCCCTGCTGAGCTGTGTGCCTGGGCCTTCATCAAAAAATCTCAGAAAGTTCAGGATAGAAGAGAACTTAGAACATGGAATGTCAGAGCTAGAAGGGACCTTGGAGATTATCCAGTCTAATAGTCATTTTATAGATGGGGAAGCTAAGGTCCAGAGAAAGGAGCCACATGAGCCCAAGGTCCCCTAATCCATTGTCCTTGTTGGGCAGTTACCTGAGGGGGATGAGGAAACCATTACACTGAGACATCTAGAAAAGATGCAACTGGGCAAATCATGTCACTTCCTAGGGCCTAGGTTTCCTCAACTGTCAAAAGAAGAGTTGAACTAGATGGTCTCTGAGATCCATTCCAGCTCCATATTTGGGATCCCATGACCTTCCCTGGATATAGACAGGGCCTTTGAAGTCAGGCTGGTCCTGAGGGGATGCTCAAAGCTATCCCCTGGTAGCCACTCACTGGGGAATTCTCATATTCCAGGCCCTTCCGTAAGGCCTTGATTTTGGGAGCTGGTAAGCATGATTTTACTCAGTGAATGGCCATCGTTTAAATGAAGGAGAGTGCCTGCATTGATTTGAGAGGCTGCCTATCCAAGGGCATGGACCATAGGGCAGTGGAAGGGTCTTTGGCCTGGGAGTCCTGAGATCTGAGCTCTAGCCCCAGCTTGGCCACTCCAGTGACTGTGTGATCTTGGAAAAGTCAATTCCACTCTCTTGACCTCAATTTCCTCTTCTGTAAAAAGATAGGGTTGCAGTAGTCCTTAAATAAGATTCTAGTGTCGCTGCCTGTAGCAGTTAGGAATTTGGAAATCTCTACCACTAACTCACCATGTGACCTTGGGTGACTCACTTAATTCTCTTTCAGCCTCAGTTTCCTCATCTGTCAAATGAGGATAATAATACCTGCCCTGCTTACCTTGCAGGGGTGTCTCAAGAAGCAAATGAAATAGTAATAATATAAAAAAGCACTTTGAAAAGCAAGAAAGCACTATTTAAATGTAAGGTAATATTCTTAATAACATTAATAATGTGGCTACTTTCACGTACTTTCAAGTTCTTTCTGCTTGTGATGATAGGATCCTTTGTGGACAGCTGGCCAGAGGTTCACCTGGCTCTAAGGACTCCTGCTCCCCATCATGCAGGAGGTTGCCTTGGGTACCAACCAGTACCTGCTCTCTCTCCCCTGCTCCTTCACTCCCTCACTCCCCCCTTTGGCCACTTACAATGCACTTTGAGACTTGTTAACTTGTTTTCTAGATTTGTCAGATCCATGGTACTTGATGAGTTTTTGTTATTTTTATAAGATATTTATATAAGGCTAAAATGCAATACTAGTGCCATCTTGTCTTTCATAGGTGGGGGGGGGATTGGCTTTGTGGTTATCTTGTTTCTGTCCTTCTTGGAAATCAGTAAAGTAATTTCAACTGATCTTGGCTGCTTCGTATTATTCTGGGAGGGAATGGTGTTGCCTTTTCCTTCCTGACTCCTGACGCTCAGGATAAGTGGCCCCCAGCTAGATCCTGCTATTCCATAGAGGCCTATGATGTCTGGGCATTCTATTCTCTAAAAGAGGAAAAGTAGACTGCAGACATCCAGATCCTCTGGTTGGAGGAACACTGGAAGGAATGGGAGGGAAGGAGCAGCTGTGCCCCGTTTTGGGCCCTTGGCCTTGCTATTGGCAAAAGCCACCTTGCTAGTGCTACTCTTTGTAGCCCCCAAGCCCACTTGCCTTAGTGCCAGACATTACTGCTGGGTCCCTTAAGTGAGGCCTATCTGTTACTTAAAATTGCAGGGAGTCACAAAAATAGCAGGGGTGAGGAATGGGGGGAGAAGGTGTCCCACCTGAACATGCCCTTGCTATTATTACCAGGGAACTAGCCTTATTGTTAATCTGCATGGCACCATGTTTAAGCCACGTGGTCCTATGTCTAGTAAAAGGTAAGTTCTTTTTTATTTGGCTCTCCAGTACTTTCCAGGCATTGAGGTCATGTTAAATGTTTGCTGACTGATTGGTGTGGTTCCATGTTTAATCTTCACCGTGAAATCAGATTGGCTCCTAGAAAGTAGGAACGACCTTAGAGATAGTCTGTAAAGTAAGGTTAATGTACCTTCCACTTCACTGGGTCGTTATAGGGAGAGGACTTTGTAAACCTTAAAGCCCAATAGAAATGTGAGTTATTACTGTGTGGTGCAGGGCTCTCATTTTGTGGAAGAAACCATTGATCCATGTCTAAATTGTATGGATCCCATGATCCATGGGGATCTTATATCTCAGTCATGTCAGACTCAAATAGAAGGGGATGGGCCACATATTGACTTAGAAAACTACAAATTAACATTATCTATTTTGTATTGTATTTTTATTCATTTTGCCTAAATATTTCCCAATTACATTTCATTCTTATTTGGGCTGCATTCAGCCAGTTTGGGCCAGTTAGCCATAAGCTTGACACCTCTGCTGTATTTTATCCATATTAGTGGGTGTCCCCCACTTCCCAAATGGGAAAATTGAGTGTCTGAGGTTAAATGACTTTATTATAAGCCAATCCTACAACCTCACCACTCCAGCTCACTATACTATTATACTATTATGTTTTTCATGGCTTGCCCAAAGTCATAGCTAACAAGCAGTAGAAGTAAGATTCACATCCAGATCTTCTGATTCAAAGAAGTCTGCACCATTCCTCCCACATGGGCATTTAAAGATCCTCTTTAAAATGAGAGATTTGGATAGGAGTAAATAAATTTATATTCTTCACACTCCCCTTACCTCCACTAATCCAAAAGGTAGGATAACCTTCTATCCCTTCCATCCCTTCCATCCTGAGTTCTAGCTGCCCAAGGGTGTCCACTGGGCATGTTCTGTTGGACTCTCTGGCCTGTGATTGGGGAGTTATTAGAGAGATGAAGTCTGGGTCTCAGAGGGTCAGACTGTATGGGACATGGTGTGTTCTCTGCTTCCCCAAGGTTGGTGCTGAGGACTCTCGGCTGAAAGATGGAGCCAGATATGGCCTGATTTAGGGTGGGGGTTCCATGGAGGGGAAAGGCATTCTTTGTCTCCAGTGATAAATTTTCTGCAAAATCTATCCTGTGTGATTCACTATTGTCAGCCATGAGTCACCATGGCGGGAAGATGAGTTCAGTAACCTGGGAGTTCATGGCACACACAATTTGTCCAGCTGGCCCCTGCTTCAAAGCGAAGGATGAAACTCCCCAATGCTGACAAAACCATTTCCCAGAGTTTATGTGGTGCTGCCTATGGATGAGTACAAGGGCATGTGAAAGGAGTGGAAAATACAATGAAAAAAGGTAGACTGAAGCCAAGTTATAGAGAGCCTTGAACACTAGA